ATGGATTTTGAAGTGGAAAGGGTCCAGGTCTAGAATTTTCAGTTGTGATTCTCTGACTTTGAAAAGTTTAACTTGACCTTCCAGCTGTTGAAGGATCCCTTCAATTTCAACATTGAAGAATTGTCTGAAGAACTCGCCTGTTTACTTTGTTTGGACAAGCGTGAATTTGAAGCGACATGCTTTAGTTGTTAAGCCAGGATTCACATATTCAACTCTTATAATCGACCTGTAGCTCATATGTGGGAGAATCTACTGATTTGTGAATATTTTCTTTGCCTGAAGGCCGCGATATCCAAGTTATTTTCCATGTTTGGTTCAACTTGGCTGTGTAGGTCGAAGTTTCCGCCAGTGACTCGCATTACGTCCAAGTACTGAACCGATCACGTCTTACGGAGGTGGAGGTGAGATGTGCTTTGTGTTCTGATTTTGAGCCAGACTTTCACTAATTGTTAAAAGAAAAATATTGCAAAGTTTCTCAGTAATTTCATTGACGCAGAAATAGGAAAATTACTTGTGTTTGCCAAGCCAGTAACGTTATAATCGTAATATAATTTAATATCACACATATTGCCCACCCCTGTTCTGGGGCAAGATATCGACCTATACCCAAAAGAAGTCATAACTGTGCTTGACTGTACAGTACTATGTGGGTGTTGACTGTTGAAGTAGAGAGAGAGAGAGACATCACTCTGCCAGCGAGCACCGTTACAGTTCATTATTACCAATGTGTCTTCACCACACTCTTTATGAGACGCACACACACACACACACCCACACTCGGGGGAGGAGGGGGTATTTCCACGCTTGAATAAACACAAATAAAACTGGACATCTCGACAGGGAAAAAAAATAGATTTTTCATCGGTCAAACAGGTTTTTCCCCTTGGATGCAGAATGTTATGAATAATTAATAATATTTGAATGGATTCTGCAAGTCCGATGACCCAAAGAAAACGAGTTGTTTATTTTTTTTAACAGGGGTCACTCAACTAAAACCACAAGTTGACCGTTGTTTTAAGACAAGTCGGTCTGTGTCAAGACAAGATTTAATTCTACCAAGCTCAATATTCCACGTTTATTTGAACATATAAAAAGTTCCTCCAAAAAATCGAGACGTCCACATGGAATGTTTCAAGACAATGTGGAAGGTCAAAGTTGTGTAAAGAAAATGCCTTCTACTCTTGACAGTCCTCGATAAGTTAGTCATACAATAAGACAAGTGGAGGCTACATTTATCTTGGGGACAAATAATTTTTTTTAGTTAGGTTAGGTTACCTGACTTAACAGGCCACGTCCTAACCTCCTAACCTTACCTAACTAAAAAAAATGATTTGTCCCTAAGATAAATGTGAAAATCATCTAAAACAGCAAGAAACCTTGCGAAATAAATTATTTTTCATGTGAAAAAAGGTGATGGGTAGATAACAAAAAATAGCCAAAGAGAGCATGGTAAGGTCGGTGACAGAGTGTGAGACACGCTGATTCTCAGTATTGCCCAAGTCAAGAAAGAAGATCTCTGCTATAAAGAGGGAATACACACAATATATTCACACTATATTTAACATATACACCCTATATTTAACATATACACCCTATATTTAACATATACACCCTATATTTAACATATACACCCTATATTTAACATATACACCCTATATTTAACATATACACCCTATATTTAACATATACACCCTATATCTAACATATACACCCTATATTTAACATATACACCCTATATTTAACATATACACCCTATATTTAACATATACACCCTATATTTAACATATACACCCTATATTTAACATATACACTCTATATTTAACATATACACCCTATATTTACCATATACACCCTATATTTAACATATACACTCTATATTTAACATATACACCCTATATTTAACATATACACTCTACCCCTCCTACCCCTGCACCTCCTACTGAACCTATGCACTTTCCTATAATCTCCACTCGTAGGGTTGCCGGTGTGTTATCCAGGTTGGATGTGAGTAAGGCGCATGGACCGGACGGAATACCCCTTCGTGTTCTGAGGGAGTGTGCTGAAGCCCTGGCCCCTGTGCTTGCTCGCCTCTTTCGCCTTTGCCTCAAAACGAAAACTTTTCCTTCTTCTTGGAAGCATGCCTTGGTTCAGCCCATCCCGGAGAAGGGTGACCATTCTAATCCCTCTAACTATCGCCCCATTGCCCTAACTTCATCCCTCTCTAAGATTTTCGAAACTATCTTGAACTCCCATTTTCTCCGTCACCTTGAACGCCTTTCTCTTTTGTCGGATCACCAGTATGGCTTTCGCCAGGCAAGATCTACTGGTGATCTGCTCTCCTATTGCACCCATCTTTGGTCATCCTCTCTTAGGGATTATGGGGAAACTTTTGTCGTGGCCCTCGACATCTCCAAAGCATTTGACAGGGTATGGCACAAGTCTTTGCTATCTAAACTTCCCTCTTTTGGTTTCTCTCCCCCACTTTGTTCTCTCATCTCTAGCTTCCTTGAGAATCGATCCATGGCAGTTGTTGTCGAGGGATCGATTTCTCGCTCTTTCTCTACCAATAGTGGCGTCCCACAGGGTTCTGTTCTTTCACCAACTCTCTTTCTTCTTTTTATCAATGATTTACTTCACACTACAACTAATTCTATCCATTCTTACGCCGATGATTCTACTCTTCACTCTTCCTCACATTTTCCCCTTCCTCCTAACTCTCAAACTAGATCTGTTTCTAGAACTGATATCATTACTTCTATCAACGCGGATCTGTGCAGCATCTCTGAATGGGGAGATACAAACTTGGTTAAGTTCAATAGTAACAAAACTCAATATTTACCAATTACACTTTGTAATGTAGACGATCTCCCACCAATTACATTTCAGGGCGCTATCATCCCCCCAAATTCTGAAATAAATATGTTAGGCCTCACCATTTCCTCCAATATGTCCTGGAAATCACACATCCTTAGTATAACTAAAGCTGCCTCCCGAAAGTTGGGAATGCTGTACAGATGCCGCAGCTACTTCACTCCTGAGCAGTTGCTCCAAGTATATAAGGGATTCATTCGTCCTAACTTGGAGTGCTGCTCTCATATCTGGGGTGGCTCTTCTTCTGTCCAACTGTTAGATAGGGTGGAATCAAACGCATTTCGTCTTATTAACTCTCCTCCTTTAGTCGACAATCTCTCTCCCCTTTCTCTTCGCCGCAATGTTGCTTCACTCTCTCTCTTTTACAGGTATTTTAACGGGCAATGTTCAGGGGATTTGGCATCCTTTGTACCGCCGGTAAGGCCGTGGGTTCGTAACACACGTCTTGCCCGCGGTGCCCACCGTTTCTCTGTTGATATCGGTCACACGAGAATAACCCGTTATAGTACCTCCTTCTTTCCTCACACAGCCAAACTGTGGAATGCTTTGCCTTCTTCTGTGTTTCCATGCTCTTACAATCTGTCTCACTTTAAAAAGCTGGTTTTCCGGCATCTTCGTGGTGTAGATTAATACAGTATAACCTTTTTTTCTATATTTTAAATTTCTTTCCGTTCTTTTTTTTTTCGCCCCCCAGGCTCCGTTGTGGGTCGTTTGATCTGTGCCCGGGTTGGCTAATTCCCGTAAAAAAAAAAATTACCATATACACACTATACTCATTAAATATATCTCTCCTTTCCCGGTGAATGTGTTGCCGCTGATGTTGTTGTTGTTGGCTCGCCAGGGTATCAACTAACACACGACTATTACGGGACTTAAAAGTGTTCCAGGAGTCTTTTAACTTAACAGATCTATTAAAGCCCTTAAAAGTTTTGTGTATGTACTATTAGTGCTTAACAGGAAAATGTCTGCCTTAACAACTGTTTGCTAGCACTTAAAAGTTTTGTGTATACCGCCCCTGGACAGCCGTTGAGATCCGCGCTCATTATCACAAAAGATTAGACCCCAAGCTGACGAGAATGACACCCCGACCCTTGATAACATTTGGTATAATCAAATGACAGACATATCTCTCTCGGGATAACAGAGGAGTGGGCCATATTACACCCACCATTCATCTGTGACGGGTTGTCGGCGCCAGCGGGGATCACCTCTTGACCGTGGGAGGGAACCAGACACCAACTACTGAATTATGCAAATTAATTAATTTTTTATCTAACTTTCATAATTTTTTCACAAGTTTTTAATGAATTTTATACTAATTACCATCTTTAAGGTTATTAAACAAACACCACAGGAGGTTTTAGAATGACTTAGAGGTCACCATTAATTAGTAAGTACCACTCCCCATGTGGGCAACAGTGAAGTGTGCACCAATCACTCGCCCGTCACTCAATTTTCCTGCTAAAATCGTCCGTTTCTTCCGGTCCCCATCAACATTGTGACTCAATTCTTATTCTGCATTCGTTACTTATTCATATTTTTTTTGTCACGTGAGTCACAAAGGATAGCACGAGGTGACGGACAGAGGCTGACAATCGACCCTTGGCGCGACACGTGTTCCTCTAGGCCTAAGGGGAGAGGGTGAGGGGAGGAACGTGGAACAGAATTGATAAGCGTACATTACCCTCACATTATTCAGGAATTATATCTCTCTCTAATTTGGACCATATGGTTGTGATTATATCTCAAAGAAATAAGTTCTCTATACTGACAGTCGCTCATGTACAAACTTTTAGCTGCTACTCTTTTTGAATGTATAATTTCTTCCTTATAGTACAATACTTTTCTGTAGTGAATATTTTCATTTGTTTAAATTATTTTCACTTAAAAATAAACTACAAGGCTGTTGTTGTTGTTATTTTTGTTGTTTTTGTTATTTGCCCTTGGTGTTGTTCTTTATTTCTGTACAGTAACAACCTAAAGCCTTTGAACACGTACTCTAAGGATGTTCATAACACGTACTCTCAAGATGTTCATAACATGTACTCTAAGGATGTTCATAACACGTACTCTCAAGATGTTCATAACATGTACTCTAAGGATGTTCATAACACGTACTCTAAGGATGTTCATAACACGTACTCTAAATGTTCATGTACTCTAAGGATGTTCATAACACGTACTCTAAGGTTCATAACATGTACTCTAAGGATGTTCATAACACGTACTCTAAGGATGTTCATAACACGTGTGTTCATAACTACTCTAAGGATGTTCATAACACGTACTCTAAGGATGTTCATAACACGGATGTTCATAACTACTCTAAGGATGTTCATAACACGTACTCTAAGGATGTTCATAACACTAGTGTTGCTTTATGCTCTAGGTATTTCATAACTTGTAATCAGGTGTTCTTAGTATTCTAGGATGTTCTAAGGTTCTGCTGTATGGATGTTCATAACACGTACTCTGGTGTTTTTTGTGTTTTGTTTGGTGTTTGTTTGGATGTTCCTTAACACTGATAAAGCACTGTTCATAACACTGATAAAGCACATCTCATGTCTGGGTCCACATGTAACCGGTTTCGGCTTTTATTCTCTATTTGAAGAAGGTGGAGAAACCAGATTCACATAAATATGTAGTAGAACATGGGAAGAGGACTCGAGGTGCGATCTCACTAACTTTTGGATATGACCGATACATTGAGCACCAGAATACAGTCGGAGATTTTTCTTCATAGAGGTCTCTGGCAGCAGAATCGTTCCTGAGGTCAAGGAATTCGTCCTGACCATCGTCGGGAATGGCAGCATTATCAAGAGTGCCAGAGAAAGGATTCCTCACCAATTTCCCTTCTCCCTCCTCGAATTCTGGGAAGTACCTTTTAAGCTCACTTTCCAAGGATTTCAAGTGCTGAATTATTTCATTTTTGAGTGATGGGTCAAGTAGATGATCCTCTTCAATTTCGTCAAGAAAATTTGAGAGATTCTCAAACATAGCAACATTTCCTGCAATGACTTTCCTTTGCCAGTTCTGGAGTTTGTCAAGAAATGCAAATACGCAATCCATGTGGTGAAACACATTTCTTTCCTTGCCTTGTAGCTTGAGATTCAGCCGGTTTAGCTGCTCAAATATGTCTGCCAGGTACGCAAGACGTGGCTCCCACGACACCTCGTTGAAGTGACTTAGTAGATCATCCTTCCAGGAACAACTTAAGTTTTCCCCGAAGTTCGAACACTCGATTCACAACATTACCCGTGGAAAGCTATCGCACTTTGGAGTAAAAGAGGAGAGTTTCGTGCTCTGAATCCATGCCTCTACAGAGGTTCTGGAAAAGGCGAGAGTTCAAATCTCCTGCTTTCACAAAGTTGACGCATTTTACCACTGCCTCCAGGATCTTGCAAAGGGCATCAGGGAAGGTTTTCGACGCCAGTGCAAAACGATGGATCATACAGTGAAACCCTTTGGCATTCGGAGCTACTTCCTTGACGTGCTTCTGTAACCCCGATTTCGACCCCAGCATCGCCGGAGCCCCATCAGTACAATTTTCACAAAAAAAAAACAGGTGATTCCGTTAGCTGTGAAGAAAGAAGTCAACTTTTCCATCACATCTAAAGCTGTTGTGGTAGTTTCAAGTTGTGTACAGAACAGGTATTCATCCTTGATGTCACGCAAGAATACATACCTAACAAACGCTAGTAGCTGTGCACAAGAACTCACATCAGTTGACTCATCCAACTGTATTGCAAACATACCAGTTGGAGACGATTTACTCTCCTATATCACCTGTTCCATGAAATCATCTGACATTTCACTAATTCTCCGCTTCACCGTGTTGTCTGACAAGGAAATCTGCTGAATCTTACGTTGACTTGCCTCTCCAAGAGCCCGCTTGACTATCTTTAAAGCACACGGCTTAATTAAAGTTTCACCAATCGTGTGGGCCTTCTTCTTCTTTGCTATTTCAATGTAAACCTCATATGATGCCTCAACTACACTTTTGTTGGAAGGCACCACTCTCATTCAGTCTCTGTTTTCCCAAACTCCGTTCATGGCTCTTGAAGAAATCGGGTTCTCTCTCCGCATACTGGGGGTGGATTGTCGTCAGATGATGCTTCAGCTTACTAGGCCTCATGGAATCTTTCCCCAGCACTTTGAAACAGAACACACACTGAGGTTTCTCGATGCCATCAGCGAGGATTGATGTAAATCCGTAGTTAATGTATTCATCATTGTACTTCCGCTTCTTAGCAACACTGGCAGCCATCGCAATTCTAAGGAAATTATAAACAAAACAATGGCAAACAGACAGAAACAGACGAATGATAAAGAATAAAAATTATAATAATATAAAACTGAAATATAAGACAAACATGAATCTGTTGGTTTTACTAAAAATTTGTAATCTCTCTCTCTCTCTCTCTCTCTAAATGTTGACTAGTTCTTTAAAAAAACAGAATGTCACAGAAACAGACGAATGATAAAGACTAGAAATTATAATAATAAAAAACAAAAATGAGACAATAATCCGAATGTCAAACACACAAACATGCCTGAAGTCCATACATACTGTCTGTAAACATACATGAAATGCCTATACAATCACACGTAAAATATACACATACAGTCCACTCACAGTCCACCCACATATTTTCCTAATGATATCTTGAGCCAGACTGAGAACATTCGGTCTGATCACCACTTGTAAAGCGATGACACACGGACATGTACACAGAACATGTGAGATCAGTGTTCAGCGCCCGTCACCCTGTTGACAGGAACTAGAATCGTGCATTCTGAGCGAATCCGTTGGAAATGAAAAACTAGCTGCTGCACCATACTGTGTAAACTGTACCGTGCGGGTATTCTCATTACACACAATGACCAAAAAAAAGACAAAAAAATAAAAAATTCTCCCCTAACAAGGCAAAGTAACAAAAAAAATTAATCAGAGTTTCCACATTTTCTCCAAACACATACTACTTACACTAGCCCGCCATGGGCCCCCTAAAATCTGGCCTTGACCCCCTGGGGGCCATGTCCCCCGTTTGAGAGACTCTAGTACATAAGAACATAAGAATGGAGGAAACTGCAGCGGGACTATTGGCCTATACTGGGCAGTCCCATTTACACCCAACCCCTATTGCTCATATATCCATCCAACCTATGTTTGAAGCTACCCAGCGTATTCGAGTTAATGATGATATTTGGTAACTTGTTCCACTCATCCACTACTCTATTTCCAAACCAATGTTTACCTATTTTGCGCCTAAATCTAATTTTGTCTAATTTAAAACCATTGTTACGAGTTCGCTCCTGGTTGGATAGTTTGAGTGCCTTTGCAATGTCACCTTTGTTCAGTCCTGACTTCCATTTATACACCTCTATCATATCGCCCCTCACTCTACGTCTCTCGACGGAATGCAAATCAAGATGCTTTAACCTGTGACCAGAATTGAACTGCGTAATCCAAGCGCAAGATATAGTTTTAAGATGACCTCGCTAGTCTTGTAACTAACACTCCTTTGTATGAACCCAAGTACTCTATTAGCCTTGTTTCGAGCAAATACACATTGTTTACTTGGCTTAACATTCCTACTTATCATTACTCCTAAATCTTTCTCGCAATCGGATTTCTCAATAACATCGTTGTTCATTTGGTGTCTGGTTTCCCTGTTTACATCTCCTATACTGAATACTTTACATTTGCCACATTGAATTTCATTGCCTTTTTCAGACCATTCGAAAAATTTTTTAGATCTTCCTGTAGTTTTGCCGAGTCCTCGTCAGATTTAATTACACGCCCTATTTTTGTGTCATCAGAAAATTTACTTATGTTGCTGTCTACGCCGATATCTATGTCGTTTATGTATATAATCTATATATATATAAAACAAAGAAGTATGTCTGTGTTTGTTTGTGTGTTTGTGTGTGTGTGTCTGCACGAGAATCTCGGAAACTACTTTGCCGATCTGTAGTGATGATGGATGTTGTTATATGTAGTGATGATGGATGGTGTTATATATAGTGATGATGGGTGGTGTTATATGTAGTGATGATGGATGGTGTTATATGTAGTGATGATGGATGTTGTTATATGTAGTGATGATGGATGGTGTTATATGTAGTGATGATGGGTGGTGTTATGTGTAGTGATGATGGGTGGTGTTATATGTAGTGATGATGGATGGTGTTATATATAGTGATGATGGGTGGTGTTATATGTAGTGATGATGGATGGTGTTATATGTAGTGATGATGGATGATGTTATATGTAGTGATGATGGGTGGTGTTATATGTAGTGATGATTACACAATAAAATAATAACAGTTTAATGCTAAAAAAATATACTTTGCTGTACCGTTGTAGTGAAAAACATTGTGGAACTTACATACACCGTTAATGAACTATTGATGGAAGAAGAAGTTTTGGGGACTGAACAGTGAGACAATGTGGAGCCTCCCGTAGGGTGGCGCCCTACCGTGGCCTAGCGGCGATTCTGCTAGTAAATAATAATGGTCCGAGTAGTGAGCCGTTTCCTGTCCTGTAACCACGCCCTTATCCATTTTAGAATATCTCCTTTAATGCCATGAGCCTCCACTTTTCTTAATAGTCTTTCGTGGGGTACTTTATCGAAGGCTTTGCTAAAGTCGAGATATACCACATCATAATTATGATCCTCGTCCACTGACTGATTTGAAAACAGATGAAAAGAATGTTAATAGATTAGTCAGACATGAACGCCCGCTTGTGAAGCCATGCTGGGAATCATTGATCAATCGGTGCTTCTCTAGGTGATTTCGAATTGAGTTTGAAATGATTGCTTCCAGTAATTTGTCTACAATTTATGTTAGACTGATTGGACGGTAGTTTTTATGATAGTGATCTATCTCCCTTCTTGAAAATCGGTATTACATTCGCTGTCCTCCAGGATTCTGGTACTACACCTGTTTTAAAGGACATGTTAAACAACTTTGCTCAGGGCATACTAAGCTCTTCCTTACATTCCTTTAAGACTATGGCAAATATCTCTTCGGGACCTGGTGACTAATTAGGCTTTAATTTGTCTGTTTGCTTACTAACATCGTTACTAGTCACTACTATCGCGCTTAATTTATTTTCTTCACTATCTCTGTATATAATCGGTGCCTCGAGGATTATGCTTAAATTTTCGGTGGTGAAAACTGTTGAAAAATATTTATTCAGATTAGTGCTCAGTTCTCCGTCGTTATCAGTTAGCTCGCCGGTATCTGACTGTATTGGTCCAATCTTATTTCGTGTTTTAGTTTGATACATTTGATAGAATCCCTTGGGGTTTGACCTCGCCTCCCATCAGTTCATTATTCCTTTTTGGTTTTCTTATCTCTGTCTTAACCCTACCGGCCAATACCTTATAATAATCTCGGAGGTAAACTTCACCACGATTCATTCTCCTACCTATAGCCTTCCTATGTCCAATAATATTCTTTTAATAATTATTTACCCATTTAGGGTCATTGTTGTTTGATCTGAGTTTTCTGTATGGTATGGTCGTTATTTAAATTGTTGTGGAACTCGTCAACCTCAGATCTCGTGATCAGGTCATCCTAAACCGTCAGGTCTCCAGGTAAGGTGAGGGTGCCCAATGTGAGTACATAGTGTGAGGTCACCTCATGTGAGGTCATGTAATTCACCCCCAAGCACGATACGACCTTCTCTCAGCTGCCTCTCCAACTATCAAAGTTTGCCTTTCTAAAATCTGGGACTTTAGTGGAATTTTCCTTATTTCTTTGTGATCGCTGTTAGCAAGTTCGTTCCCTACCTCGACATTACTAATGAGGTTTTCTCTGTTTGACAGAACTAAATCGAGTATATTATTACCCCGGGTGGGTTCGGTTATATATTGGCTTAGGAAACAGTCCTGGATTGTTTCAAGAAAATACTCTAATTCTGAGTTACCCGTAAGGTCAATCCAGCCTATTTGGCTAAAGTTAAAGTCGCCTACTATACAGACTTTGCTATGTATGGAATCCCTGCACATTTCATCCCAAATAAGTTGCTCATTAACTCTATCAAGATTAGGAGGTCTATATATTACTCTTGTGATTAATTTTTCCCCACCATCGATTAATTCTATCCAAATTGTTTCTGTATTCCGCTCAGTTTTCATTTCCTTATTTATTTCACACTTCAGATTATCCCTGACGTAGATTGCTACTCCGCCTCCTTTCCTAATCTGCCTATCGGAATATTTTGTAACCTGCAATTTGGTATTTGACAGGTAACTCTCGTGAGTCTAAGTTTATCCATGTTTTGGTGAATGCCATTATATCGATTTTTTCAGTACATACCAACGCCCTGATTTCATCCATTTTGTTTCTCATACTTCTACTGTTTGCATAATAGACATTTAAGTTAATCGTGTTCTGAGTCCTCCCTTTGTCGCGTTTAGGTTTTAACTCCCTGCCTAATTTAGTTTTGTCATCATTCCTAGCCCTATTTCCCTGTAACATTTCACTTTGTTTACCAACTCCCACTACAGT